ATTAATATAGTAGAAAGAATTTGTATATTTCCCCCAACCTTTCGTATTGTCCAATTAGGGTTTAGCATATTGTCTTCAGGTAAATTAAAATAGAAATAGATTAAAAAAAATAGCTTTGCCAGTGAATGCTGAAAAGTCATGGCACAGTTATTTTCTTTAAAGCCCATTTTAACCTTAAATGTAAATTAAATGAATAGAATTCACATGCAAAAAAAACCAAAAGGTGTGCATAGTCTTTCAGTTTTTTTTTTTTTTCACAGCAGCCAGAGCCTGAAAAGCCTATTCACACTCCTAGCAGCTGCAGAAAGGGACAGTGCTCTCTGTGGGGAACAGTGGTCTCTCTGCAAACTTCAAGCAGAAGCCAGTCATACATGGATCGAATCTTGGCCGGTCCCTACTGAACTAGCCGAGAATCCATGTATAGGCAAGGTGATTGAGAACAATCCATCGATCGACTTGGACACAACCAGCCTGTCAGGTTTTTTTACAGGTAAGTGATGTTAATATTCCTGTACAATTATCAATATTTATTCACATATGCATCCTTTATTCCCGGGTCACACTAATGTGAATTGTCCACACAATTTGATCTTTTCAAATCACATGACAAGTCGCACCCTATTGTCCACAATGGGAAAAAATTGGTGCGACTCTGACTCCGTCAGAATTGCACCCAATTTTGAAAGAAGTTCATGCACTACTTTTTGCAAGTTCAGGTGCGACATGCATAGACATCTGTGCATGAAGTCACACCTGAAGTCGCACTGACATCTGACTTTGGGTGAATTCAAGTGAAGTCGCAACACAATTTCAAAGTGGAATTCAGTGTGACCGAAGTCTCAGAGGAGCTCTTGTCTGTACAATAAGTACATGTGCACACATATGCATGCATACAATAATTACCCAAATGGAAAGTGATACATTTTTCAAGGCAAGGCTGTTTTTTCTGGACAAACACATTTCCAGTTGTTGCCTTTTTTCCCTCATATTTTTTAATGGCAGAAATTTGTCAGAAAAGGTGGCAGAACCCCCCCCCCCCCCACACACACACACACACACATACAAACACACACACACACACACACACACACTCTGACATCCTTAGCATACAGTTGCAAGAAAAAGTATGTGAACCCCTGGGATTACGTGGAGTTTTTGCATGAATTGGGCAGAAAATGTGCTTCTGAACGTCATCTATGTCACAACAATAGAAGAACACAGTCTGCTGAACATAATACTACTACACAAACATTAGATATTGCCATGGTTTAATTGCACATAACATGTAAACATTCACAGTGCAGGGAGGAAAAAGTATGTGAGGCCCTAGCTTAATGACTTCTCCCAGAACTAATTGAAGCCAGGAGTGAGCCAACCTTTACTCCAATCAGTGTGATGATATTGGATGTGTTGCTGACAGCTGTCCTGCCCTTAAAAAACACACACCTGTTTTGGGTTTACTGGTTTCAAGAAGCACTGTCTGATGTGAACCATGCCTCGCAGAAAAGAACTCTCAGAAGACCTACGATCAAGAATTGTTGACTTGCATGAAGCTGGAAAGGGTTACAAAAGTATCTCCAAAAGCCTTGATGTTCATGTGTCCACGGTAAGACAGACTGTCTACAAATGGAGAAAGTTTAGCACTGTTGCTACTCTCCCCTAGGCGGGGTCGTCCTGTAAAAATGACTGCAAGAGCACAGCGCAGAATGCTGCATGAGGTAAAGAAGAATCCCAGAGTGTCAGCTAAAGACCTACAGAAATCTCTGGCACATGCTAACATTTTTGTTGACACATCTACAATAAGGAAAACATTAAACAAGAATGGAGTACATGGGAGGACACCACGGAGGAAGCCATTGCTGTCCAAAAAGAATATTGCAGCACGTTTGAAGTTTGCAAAAGAGCACCTGGATGTTCCACAGCACTACTGGCAAAATATACTGTGGACAGATGAAACCAAGATTGAGTTGTTTGGGAAGAACACACAACACTATGTGTGGACACACAACACTATGTGTGGAGAAAAAAAAGGCACAGCACACCAACATCAAAACCTCATCCCCACTGTAAAACATGGCGGAGGGAGCATCATGGTTTGGGGCTGCTTTGCTGCCTCAGGGCCTGGACGGATTGTTGTCATTGATGGGAAAATGAATTCCAGAGTTTATCAAGACATTTTGCAGGAAAACGTACGACCATCTGTCCGCCAAATGAAGCTCCGCAGAGGATGGGTGACGCAACAGGACAATGATCCCAAAGCATACAAGTAATTCAACAAAACAATGGCTGCAACAGCACAGAATAAAAACGCCTTCGGGGGTGGCCCAGTCAGAGTCCTGACCTCAACCCGATTGAAATGCTGTGGCATGACCTTAAGAGAGCGATTCACACCAGACATCCCAAGAATATTGCTACACTGAAACAGTTTTGTGAAGAGGAGTGGTCCAAAATTACTCCAGATCGTTGTGCAGGTCTGATCTGCAACTACAGGAAACGTTTGGTTGAGGTTATTGCTGCCAAAGGAGGGTCAACCAGTTATTAAATCCAAAGGTTCACATAGTTTTTCCTCCCTGCACTGTGAATGTTTACATGTTATGCGCACATAAACTATGGCAACATCTAATGTTTGTGTAGTATTATGTTCAGCAGACTGTGTTCTTCTATTGTGGTGACTTAGATGACGTTCAGAGCACATTTTATGCCCAATTCATGCAAAACTCCACGTAATCCCAAGGGGTTCACATACTTTTTCTTGCAACTGTAGGTATGTGGACCAATGAAACCTTTAGATTCCTGGATTGAAGAGGTTATCCCTGTAGCCCCCAAAGAGATGCTTGGACTGCTTCATGAGTAGATTGTGCAGTAGATGGTTACTATACAAGGCATCCAGGCAGATATATTAAAAAAAAAAAAAAGAAAGTGAATATAATGATGTATTTATTTTAAAAACAATTTATAAAGCAATTAGTTTAAAAAATCTTAATGTAACATGATTTAACTTTAACTTATAATTTCGTGTAGAGCAGCACTTATACTGGTAGAAGGAGGGACAGTACGTGAGGTCATCCTTCAGTCCTAAATTCATAAGTCATAAGTTGACAGGAGGAGAGAGCAGAGAGGTGACCTAATTAGTCTGTTATCTCTTTCACTGTCCAGTCATAGGTTGGGTTTAATTTGGTTGTAAACCCTTACATATACCCAGTGAAATGACTGGCCTCAGATAATGCACAGAGATTAAACAGATCCTCCTACATAAGTTGTACCTGTCTATCTACAGCCATCTCTTCTCTACATCCATTCAAAGTACAGAATTTATACAGGATGTTTCAGCTCTGAAAATCAGGGGTCAGGGAACTGAAGTTACATCAGTGAGAAGAGCTCTGAGATCTAATTGGAAGAAAGGGACACACCCCTTCCCACAGCTCACAGGAACAGAGCTGAGGCTGTCAATCACAGTCTGTGCCCTTCCCATCACCATTTTTCTCTTGGTGTCAGGAAAATTCATCATAAGTAACTCATGCTTATAGCAGAGAAAAGAGGCAGTGAACAGAAATTACACTTAGTGCTCTGGATTGAGACAAGTACATACTATAGAGGAATATGCTTTGTTCATATTTCATGTCAACCACTTTAAATCTTAGGACTGGAAGGACAGAAATGAAAAATTCTTTGCCATGTAGGAAAGCTTGCATATACTGTATGAACTTCAGCTTTGTATTTAGCTGTTTGTCAGAAGTCCAGCTTTAATAATTCGCTTCCTGTCAGTATAAGGACACTCATAGCTGATGCTCATCCCGTGTCCTCACTGTGACCAATATCAAACAGCTTCTTTTTTTTTTTACTTTTGCAGTTTGAATATACATACACATCTTATCATCTTCCAGACACAAAAACTTTCACCAGGCAAGGCCAAGCTTTGGAAAATAATAATAATATAAAAAAAGGAAAACTGCATCATTTTGTGCGTGTAAATACGTATAGGATTGTCAGTGATTTCTACTGGGAATATTTCACTGGCTCAGTAAGTTTTCCCTTTGGTAATACATGGGTTTCTGATTTAATTTTTCCTGACATTCTACCAGTCAGATTATTAGCTTCACAAAATGAAAGTGAAATAATCCAATATTAATTAAACAGGGCAAGCAAATTCCCCCAGTTAACTTATCTTTGGCTGGAAAGACACTGTATTTTTCTTCTAGACTTTGGAGGCGTCTGGGAGGGGAGCCTTTGACAGACAGCGAAATGACAGTTACCCAGAGATCCCTCATCACAATGTGTTCTTCATGGGGAAGAGATGCTCCTGGAGCCTTTGTTTCTACATGGTTGTCATTTACAATTTTTGTATACCTTATTATTTAAAAAGGAGTCCAGAGTTTTTTTAAGCACCTTTTTTGTAAAGCAGACACGTGTAAATTAGTACCCCTCCACTGTGCTGCGACTGGCTCCTACTGCAGCCAGTTAAAGGTTCAAAAGGCTTACATTAACCACTTCAGCTCCAGAAGGTTTTACAACCCCCTCATGACCAGGCCATTTTTTGCTATTCGGCACTGTGCTACTTTAACTGGTAATTGTGCGGTCATGCAACGCTGTACCCAAATGAATTTTTTTTCATGCAAATAGAGTTTTCTTTTGTAGGTATTTGATCACCACTGAGTTTATTTTTTTTTTTGCGATATAAATGAAATAAGACCAAACATTAAAAAAATAAACAATATTTTTTTTCTTTCTGCTATAAAACATATCCTGTAAAAAAAAATAGAAACAACAAGTGTATATTGATTGGTTTGTGTGAACGTTATTACACCTATAAACTATAGTATATATACACTGAAGTTTTTATTTATTTATTTATTTTTTTAATGGAGGCGATCAGCAGCATATAATGGGACTGCAATATTGTGGCAGGCAATCTAACACTAACTGATGCTGGGGGGAATTGACTAACTGCCACAAACATCACCAGTGACATTAATAAAGTGATTAGTGATAATACTATACACTGTACTGATGACACTGGCTGGGAAGGGGTTAACATCTAGGGTGATTAAGGGATTAAATGTGTTCCTAACCAGGGACGGACTGACCATTTGGAAACTCTGGCACTGCCCGAGGGCCCGGGGTCAGTAGGGGGCCCCCATGAGATGCTCCTGGTACCTTTTTCATAGGCTTTTTTTGAGTTTGGGCAAGGACACAGGGGCCCCATGATCCCCTATTGCCCGGGGGCCCCATGAGTTGTCAGTCCGCCCCTGTTCCTAACTGAGTGTAATGTGTGTAAAGTGTGCTGCTTTTACTAAACAATCTATAAGTTTCTCATTCCCACTTTGCAAGGATGAGAAACAGAGAGATCGCCCTGATTTACCAACACGGAGCTCTGGGCTGCGATTTCACACAGCCGACCAACAGGTACCGACCATGAATCATTGGCCGGGACTTGCTGACAGGCTCCCGCTATGTACAATCACAGTGGGTGCCGGTTGGGGGTGCACAAGGGGGTGCGCCCAGAAGCAGGCAGTGACCTATAGGTACATTGCTTTGCCTACAGCAGCCCCCCTAGGTACATTGCGGACAGTCACCAAGTGGCTAAAGAGACCCTGTCGCCACACCATTAATTTCATCAACAATCTTTCCAAAAGATTATGTGTGCATGGAAGATTATTTATCCATATTATTTACCTGTAAAAGCTTTCCTAGTGTAGACATCCATCACATGGTCGGATGTGTCCTTTTATGTATTTTCAATCTCAGCACCACATTCCAGTATAACAAAGGATAATAAACTGAATATGCAAAGCAGAACTTTTTTTAGGTGTCCCACAATTCACCATAGAAAATTTGTTTTACCCAAACAAAAGTCGAAAATTAACACATTTTATTTACAATTCCATAAAAATATACACAAGAGTTCATAAAAGACTTATTTTATGAATAGATAGATGCTCACATTCATAGATAGTCTATTATAGAGAAATGAAAGGAAAAAGGAACGCAATCCAAAATGCAAGCTTAACATATGCAGTTTATTAGTATTTCATGGCAATTCATTTCTAAACTATTTGTGTTGCTTACTACCAAAACAATCTATAGAGTATATGAAGTCCTATGTTGAATAATCAGCTTTGTCATTAGACACTTTCCCATTAAAGTGTAGAGGGTTATTTTTCTCTCCTTCCTCAAGGCCTTCCAGTCTAATGATATGGAGCACCCTGGCATGTGAGCTGTACGAGTGGCACAGCATCCGTGCTAAGTGACACGTCAAACAAGCAGAGTGTAATGTAGTCATACATGTCCTCATTGCAGCATTAAGGAGAGATGCCAGCATTTTACTCTAGAGATTTTTTTAGGATATAGCATATTAGAGGTACTAAAATGTAGGAGGCCCCTTAGATTCTGGGTAGTTAAGCTAGTTCCTGTACCTAAAGAGACCCCCATGTGGTGTATTTAGGTTTTGTGCTGCCCTAGGCAACACAAAAATTGGACGCCCCCCCCTCCTCAGTGGAGAGAGCCTGACACAAACCAACACCAGACCCCCCTGCGGAGAGAGCTTGGCAGTGATCAACAACACCGCTGCCCCATCATCCCCCCCCTACCCTAGAGAGCCTTTCACTAACACCCCCCCACCCCCTGGCGACAGAGACAAAGACACTCACCTTCACAGCTCTGGCCATCCCCTGGATTGACAGTTGGGCTCTGCATACACCATCAAGCAGCCCGCAGCCTCTCTCGGATCACACCTGGTCCCCATGCCGCATGTCATTTCTTCCAGGTGCTGCCCCCCGAAATAAATGCCACCCTAGGCAAATGCCTTGTTTGCCTTGTGGTACATACGTTCCTGCGTGTACCACAGCTTTTTAACCCCAAACTAGTCCCGCAAGTTGAAAAGCATAAGCACTTTCCTGATTCCATTTCTCAGGCAATAGGCCTAGATAGGAGTAATCATTTCTTGTCAACACAGAGACCTTATGATACTCTGGTTAAAAAGCATGTTTTTTGAGTAGTCACTACCATATCTGGGGCCAGTGAAACACGGGTGCCCTGAAATAACGGTCAAAGCAGCGGGGAACCCTTCTGGTCACTGCCACCCAACTGACCACGCCTATCCTGAACCGGCTACAACTGCTTTGGTTGGTGGAATTTTGTTGTAGTACAGTTCAGGTATCATTCCCCACATTGTTAGACTTCACTGCTGTGCCCGACTGCCCACAGCCTTAAAGTGTTACTAAACCCACAATAGTAAAATCAGTCTGTTTATGGAATAAAGCATGCTTGTTATACTCACTGTGGAACCTAAGGGATTAATCCTCTGCATTGTGTAAAAAAGGCTGCTTAATCCTGTCTTCTCTGATCCTCCCCTTCTTCCACAGTCCCCAATCCAACTGCTAATAGAACAGAGCCTTGGGGGCAAGTCTGCAAATGCTCTGTTTGGTGTGTATTGCTAGAGAGTTTTTTTCTCTTGTACAGTGATCAGCACAGGGCCAAACAGCACTGTCCAGACAGACGGTCAGGGGTTATGCAGCCTCATAGGACAATTAGGGGAGAATGAAAAACTCCTCCTACAAGCCTTAACCAGTGCTATGCTGAACACTGATCGAAGTCACAAGACTTCTATATGCTGCTGATAGGAAAAGGTATTTAGCAGTTCATATTTACTAAAATAATTGCATTTCCATGTTCTGCGTACTGTGGGAGACCAGATATAGTGAATTTGCAATTGCACTCACTTCCATGCTGCCACTTACACAGAACTAAGTTGAATGAGAGAATTATTTTTCTTTAACTGCTTTATTCAACAGCTTTGCTCAACAGGTTTACAGCACATAGAACGATCCTGCATGGTACAACCCCTATACAAAGTACAGTGTCCTTCCACATAATTGGTAACATACATTCCAGGAGAAGGGTAATTATCCATACACAACCTATAAGACTCACAGTTCATGATCATTTGGTTTCCAGTGAAGGGTGTCAAGAGGGCTTGCTGTGTTATAATAGTCCACTCCATACCCAGCCACAGTTACAGCAGCCTAAAATCTTGCTACAAGGTTTCCATCAGAGAGGTGTGTTTCCTGTCCTTCCACCTCTACATCTCTTTTCCTCTCTCTTTGACACTCGAGATATGGGAAGCTGGCAGGTGGTTCAGTTTCCCATGTTGTCAATTGTACTTTTACTGGTAGAGCTGAAGTTTATATGTTTATAATAGTTTTTTAGGCTTTTTTACCCTGCTTAGGTGGCTCATGTGAATCAGATCTATACTTAAATTATTTCATGGTTAGTATGCAACAGTAAATAATTATCCAATCACATCTTTGATCAATTCAAATGGTCATTTGATTTAAAATGATCTTTCCATGCAACAATGCAAAAGATTGCTTTGGTTCAAATCGGCAGCTGGATTTTTCCACACCAAGATGAATCGTCCTTTTACCTAAAACAAATTGATTCTTGTTTGTACAAAGATTGTAACTAAATGTTATATCCAAGTTTCACACTCTCTGATTACACAAAAAATGCAGTTTACCATATCGGGAACCCAGTGTTTATCATTTTTGGCACAGGTTTTGGGCTACGACAAATGTTCCTCGTTATACTGTTACCTTAACCTTTAGGCCAATGTTGCACTGGTGACTGTCCATAAAATTGATCGACTTTTGATGGTTTATTCATCAACAGTTACATTTGTTCGTTTAATAGATTTTGAACAAATAGCAATGTGTATGACAAGCATCTAACCCTGCTGTAACATAACCCTTTACATTTTATAAAGGGGTACATCCTGTAATGAAATGTGTGCAAGCCAACAGTCCTGGATTTGCTAGGACAGTTCTGCATCTTGGCCCTCTGTCCCACAGATGCTGTGTCCCAGCCCATGTCCTGGGATCACAGCCTTAACCTTATTAGACTTACTGAACATGCACAGAACTCCAAATGACAATGATTGTAGGGATTGGGGACACAAATCCGTAGTTCACACATATTTAGAGGTGGGGTCTGGGCAGGATCAACCCAAAAAGAAGGAGGATAAAATGTAGATTGTGGGAAGGGCAACAGCGTTCCATGTATGAGGACCATAATGTTGGTAAGTATGCAGATTGAAAAACATCAAGCTAAGCTCTAGTAAAATGAGCACAGAAACCTATCAATTCTTTATTACTCAGGATTTTTTCTTTAAACAGTAGCAGGAAATTTGACCTGGTTCTCAAGATTCTGAATTACTTCGATCAAAGTACGCTACAGCAGAAAATGGTATTTATTACCTGGTAAAAATCCACTTTGTGGATACTTCCCTGTGCTTTCTAAATATCACCCTCTGTCAATAAGATATAGTTATTTTATTACCTGCAGAATCATTTTCTCCAAAAGTACACCTACTGACAGCAAAGTCATGGATATTTATTTCAGGTACTTGTATAGCGCTGTCAATTTACACAGCGCTTTACATATATATATATATATATATATTGTATATTCACATCAGTCCCTAACCCTCAAGGGGTGTACAATCTAAGGTCCCTAACTTACATTCATACATATACTAGGACCAATTTAGACAGGAGCCAATTCACCTACCAGCATGTCTTTGGAGTGTGGGAGGAAACTGGAGTACCTGGAGGAAACCCACGCAGGCACAGGGAGAACATGCAAACTCCAGGCAGGTGGTGCTGTGGCTGGGATTCGAACCAATGACCCTAGTACTGCCAGGTGGAAGTGCTAACCATTTAGCCACTGTGCTGCCCATTTAGCCAGTCCATTGCTGGTGTTGTCTGTGTGCACCAAGAAGAGCAGTTACACATCAATTTCAGGCAACAAGTCAAATTAGTAAACTGCTAATGCTACGCTTCAGTTTGATGCTACAGGGACCATTCACCAGGGAAAAAAAATCAAAGCCTGCCTGTGAGAAAAGCTCTATGCTTATCTTTCCAATGGGCAACATGTTAAATCTTCTCTGTGCTCTGAAATTTCCTGATGTATTGAATAGCCTACTAGACACTATGGTTTCTCCTACTAGCTGCTGTGACACATACAAAATAGTAATCTATTGAATGATGGGAGGAACCACCTCACCCAGCAGGGGGAAACTGTATCCGACACCTCCAGAAGTGTCGGAAAGCAGTGAAGCCTTGTGCTTTTAAAATAAGTGAAGGGTTCACTATCTGCCCATCTGAAAGATGAATGTAAAGTTTCTCTATTTCATAGAATAACCATAAACTATGTTTTTTGAGCTATACTGTTGCCA